CCAAAATAAAATCACATATTAAAAGTGAACAGAGAAGAGAAATTTAGAAATTTAAGTTACAAAAAAAAAAAGCAACACAATACGCACATATTATTTTATACATAACTTACACAATAAAACTATAATACTCATCGGACTAAATCACCTCATAAATATTTTAAAATAGCTTTTCTATACGCTGCAAGTGACAAGCAAGTCAGCATTAGAGAACTCAGCATCATACAACTTACAAGATCTACGGACAAAAGAGTTAGAAGCATATTTCGTTCGATTTCATATTTAATGAACTATATTCATTTGTTAGGTAAAACATCGGCTTACGTTTGAGAGATTTTTGCAAAAGGCCCACAACACTTTTAATTATTACGTATGGACAGCTTTAAGAAAGCTATCAAGGTTTTTTTTGGGATTGAAGATTTGCATCTGGTCCAGTGATCTTACCGCTTAGTGAGCACTGATAAGTGAACTCAAGGACTCAGATATTCTAGGGCTACGGTTCTTCCATTGAATTGGAATCTCGATGCGCTGAAAAGAATGGACTAATAGCCACGATCGACTTATTGGCCACACATGCTCTCGACTGGTTTTTTTTTAATACGGTGCTAGAGATATAGGTATTATTTTGACTATGAATATATGTGATATGATTAAGTTGAATATACTAATACGTGTATTATAAAGCTGAAGAGTTTGTTTGTTTGAACGCGCTAATCTCAGGAACTACTGATGCGATTTGAAAAATTCTTTCAGTGTTATAAATCAGTTCTTTCAGTGTTAAAATTCGTTCAGATAGCCCATTTATCGAGAAAGGTTATATATATAACATCACGCTAAGATCAATACAAGCGGAGCACCAAGAAAGAATGTTTCAAAATCCGGGTTATTTTTACCTTTTGAGAGCTTCCGCTGCGTGCGCTGCAGAAACAGTTAAAGTTTCGCTAAAATAATGTATGACAGAATTGTTACCCTTTAAAAGATCTAAAAAAAGTCCGTGACAGCATATGTCTATATGTTATGGTTGGCTGACTATAACGTTTTTTATGCTAACCAAATATGCTCTAAAACAAAGCATTTTATTTGTGAACTATTCCAAGCGGACGAAGTCGCGGACAAAAGCTAGTACACAAATAAAGCGTAGAGCGGAACGCCTTTCTCTTGTGTTGAATGCACGAGGTATCAAATGACATACGACCTAAGTTTCCTTTACAACTGTCATTGTCATATACGAGTATTTTCCCAGACGAGCCGTGTTCAAGCCAAGCTAGTGAAATCTTACTTTCTTATGTTGAAGCAGCGAGAAAATATAATATTATAATACCTATACATACGCTATGTGCTTGAATATGTTTGTAAATAGTTGTTTTTTTTTGCTTAGGCGGGGAAACGAACTCACAGCTCGCGTATGGAAAAACCGACCAAATTTACTTGTATTTAGATTTAATAATTTTTTCCCTCTCTAAGCACCTGTTATTTTTGTAAATACTTTGACATTGGCAAAATCAATGCCAAAGGCGTTGGAGCCAAATTATCTAAAAGAAGAAGAAGAAGAAGAACTCACAGCTCACCTTTGGTTAAGTGGTTAGCGGAGTCCATAGATATCGGAATGTCGATGATTGACGGTTTGATTTTTTATTTTTCAATGTTCCTCCTTCGCCGGGGAAGTCACTCGTGACATGTGTCAAGTGTCATTTTGCTATGATGTTCACTGATCAAATTAAGATTGAGCTAATTAATAAGATTTTTGTTTTATTTAAATCGGCTGATTTGCTCTGAGTTTGACAAATAGAATCTAGCATTATAAGTGTTGTTAGTTGTGAATTCATTGCCTGGACTTCAGTATCACTCTTTAATATATTAAATTTATGATGATTATTTGCATTAGGATCCCAATAGGTTGTTACTAGTGTTTTTGTTTAAGTAGTTTTCTCAGTAAAGTTTTATGACTAAAATAAATCATTAAAGACTCTCGTCTTTAATCAGAATATTCAATCTATTTCTGTTAAAATTAAGAATGAACAGTGACGTCATTTTTCAATAGAATAATATTATGCTTTTACTTATTGGCTTGTGTCAGGAGTGACTTTGGTCGGTTTTTTCCTAAATAGCTGTATAATATTATTACTTTTTTGTTATTGCTTAGATGGGTGGACGTGCTCACAGCCCACCTGGTTACTGGAGGTCATAGACATCTACAAAGTAAATACTGCCACCCACCTTGAGATACAAGTTCTAAAGTCTCAAGTATAGTTACAGCGGCTGCCCCACCCTTCAAGCATTACTGCTTCACGGCAGAAATAGGCAGGGTGGTGGTACCTACCCGTGCGGAATCACAAGACGTCCTACCACCAGAAAGAATAGAAATAGTAAGTATGTAATAGCAATAAATAAAATAAAATGCCTTGATATTCCTCACGAACTATACATATTAATGTTTAGATACGATTTTAAACAGTGGCTACTTTCAGTCTCGTTTGGGCTTGAACAAGCTCTGTCGGTGAGAAGATTACGAAGTTCGTTTCCATTGCTGCTTGGATTATTATAAAAATATACATTAATACTATATATACTGGTGGTAGGACCTATTGTGAGTCCGCGCGGGTAGGTACCACCGCCCTGCCTATTTCTGCCGTGAAGCAGCAATGCGTTTCGGTCTGAAGGGTGGGGCAGCCGTTGTAACTATACTTGAGACCTTAGAACTGATATCTCAAGGTGGGTGGCGCATTTACGTCGTAAATGTCTATGGGCTCCAGTAACCACTTAACACCAGGTGGGCTGTGAGCTGGTCTACCCAACTAGCAATAAATTTTTTTATATGTTCATTAGAGTTCAAAGTTGCACACCGTGAGTGTTTCAAAATGACAGACAGCGTTTTGATACGATTTATTGAATGTTATTCAGCTAAGTTTAGTTTAGTCGCTTTTCTGTTTCGAGGTCCCCTATGTGCGTATCCCACGTTTTTTGCGACTCCAACTAATCTCGCTATAAAAGAACAGAGATGTTTGTAAGTTTTTTTTTGTAAAGTGGCCAGTTTGTAAACATCTATTTCTGATTCATACTACCTTATAAAGTTGCGTTGGTTTACGGTAAACTGACAGGGCGGTGGTTCTAAATTCGGGTGCGATGATTTTTTCCCTAAATGGTAGCCGAGGAGGCTGTTCCAGATACGCCCGCTCGGGTAGGTGAGCTCACGGGCTCAACTTGAGAGAATTTGCTAACACTAGCCCCTAGCAAGAGCAGTGCTTCCCCGAATCTACCACCGGATCGGAATCGCAACTCATTGAGAAGATCCGGCGAGAAATTCTGTGGATTGAGCGGTGGTAATGTTTAGATACATCAATAATGCTCTACTAAGTTTACAATAACAATGGCAAAGATGAATGTTTCAAATTGCGATAATTTAATGAAATCGTGCACGTGGGCTAACACCTAAGTTGAAATTGTTTTAATTCTAATTTAAAAAAAAAGTACAATAACATCGAAAAGCAATATAATATTACCGATCTGCATCACAACACAGACCCCTTCTAACCCTTCTTCGAATCTCATCTTTCGATCACAGAAAGACACACACAAGATCACAGATATTAAAATATGTATTTATTTTATTTATTATTTATAACACTTCATGTAAGATTTACATTGGCGGACTTAATGCCTAAAGCATACTCTACCAGTCAACCAAAGGTAGTGCAGAGTAAATAGTGGTAGGTGCAATGAAATTTATATTAAGTTACAAATACATACACAAAAAAAGTAGGTAAAAATATGTATATGTGTCTTAGAGAAATCTTTTACTATGGTATATTTTAATAAATTTGCATTTATAATGAAAACCGGTTAGTTGAATTCATATCTTCAGTCTGTTCGGGTAGATTTTGACAGCAAAGGAAGTGTGGAAACCAGTTTTGATCCTCTTACGTTAAGGAAACAAATAAAAACTATTTCTCGTGTCCATTGTTAGGAATTTTAATGTATTTAAACGTTGTTGCGTTGTGGTAATTGAGCGTGGCCTGTATTTACTGTTTTTAAATATTTATTTTAACCTTATATGACAAACTTAAAGACTGAATATAAGAGAAATATAAAATTGATGCGTTGCTCTTGGCGGCTGGATTTGAAAGAGAATTGGTGTCATGGTGGACGTCGCTCGCTGACACTTTGACGTTCAGAAATGAAATAAACGTCGATGGAATGGTTTCCTTATTTAACTAAAATTTGGCCAAGTGGTATGACCTCTTGTGAGCCTGAACGGATAGGTGCCATCCTGCCTAATTCTGCCGTGAAGCAGTAATGCATTTCGACTTGAAGGGCGGGGCAGCCATTGTTGGCATACTGAGAACTTAGAACTTATATCTCAAGGTGGGTGGCGCATTTACGTTGTAGTTGTCTATGGGCTCTAGTATCCAGTTAACACCAGGTGGGTTGTGAGCTCGTTCACCCATCTAAGCAATAAAAAAATATATAATTAATACCTTACCTTCAGTCAGAGCATACTCTAGTTTCATATGGATAAATACCTTGGCTGTCTCTACTGCGATTGTAGATTCTCATTACAGTCGCCAGGCGAGTCAGGAGCTCACCTGTCCCACTAAAAATTTTTTTTATTGCTTATATGGGTGGATAAGCTTACAGCCCACCTGGTTTTAAGTGGTTACCGGAGTCCATAGACATCTACAACGTAAATTCGCCACCCACCTTGAGATATAAGTTCTAAGTTCTCTTTATAGTTACAATGACTGCCCCACCCTTCAAACCGAAACACATTACTGCTTCACGGCTTTAATGGGCGGGGTGGTGGTGCCTACCCGTGCGGACTCCTAAGAGGTCCTACCACCAGTAAACGAATTATTTTTACGGCCGTCAAATTTTCGTACGACATTAATCGCGCGTGTCATTGGAAACGCGCCCGCAGAAAGTAAGTACATGGATCATTTCTATCGTTCAGTCGTACTACGAACTACTATGGAGCGCTCGTTGCGTATACAAACAAAAAATTGGGTGTGATATTTAATTAATTAATTACTTCTTGTGTGTGTATCGTGTGATTCTGATCGTGCATAGCTGTGTGAACTGTGAACTGTGTACAATAGGTAAGTTTATATTTATGTTTTTGTTAATTAATAATAAATAAATAATTAATTAATAACTAAATAATTAATAAAATAAACTATGGTTTGGTAACAATTTTGAAACAGGAAAGAATTCGTTAATTTGTAAACATAAAAAAAAAGCGCTAATTTGTGTTATTTTTCGTACCTAATACATATTGCGCAAATTATTTTTTAAAATTGATTGTTTGATTGTTTGAAGCACCACGACCAAGTTTGTACATAATTTATTTAGTGCCACCATAATTGTATATGAATTACATTAAAACTACCAAAGTATACGCACATAAACAATTATTCATTACATACTAAAGTACAATGACAAATCATATAGACAATTCTATTACATTATTAACTGTGCTAATATTATGGCAACAACGTAATTCTGTCATTGTTTGTTTATTGCATACCTATATGTTAAGTGGTCACCGTAGTCCACAGACATCATGAGGACACACAGTCCCGCCACTTACCACAACATTAAACTAAAAACGTGCTAATCTTGCTGTTTTCTGGCAAAGATGGTATACCTATAGGATCTGATTTTTGTCTTTTCGTGATACTTGTGTGTTGATTAATTGGCTTTAATAAATCATAACATAAATGAAAAAAAAAGTGCTTTGAAGTAGCCATTTTCCGGCTACCCTTTAAATAAAATTAGAATTATTTTCCACTTCTATTCAAAAACAATCAATGCGTTAGCTTGGGATTTATTGTCTACGCAATAATACTCAAACATTTACCTAATACCGGTTCCCAAACATTTAAAAATTCTTTCGTGACGAACGAACCACGCCTCATGATTTTTGTAGGCCATTCATATTTAAAGTTATATTTAAAACTAGCTGACCAGGCAGACTTCGTAGTGCCTCAATCGATAAATAAAATACGTAAACTTTTGTATAAAATAAACTTAAAACAAACAAAAGCAATCCGTCCGACGGGGGACACATCAAAGGAAAAACAAATTTGTTATTTTTAATTCCGAGCATTTTCATATTTATCTACCTTTTAAACTTTCTCTGGACTTCCACAAATAATTCAAGACCAAAATTAGCCAAATCGGTCCAGCCAATCTCGAGTAAGCGAGACGGACTATCAGCAATTCATTTTTATATATATAGAAGATAGATAAGTCGTATTGTGACGAAAAGTTCCCGCTGTAAGCTCATTCATATCGCAATATGAACGAATCACGGGCTGACGCTCCCTCCTCGAAGAACCATAGACAAATATTAAAATTTGCCCAATATAGATCTCAAGGAGTGGTGTTTATTGCAGGACCGCTACTCGTCAGATGAGATTTCCTTGATTTTTTTTCCTACCTATTCTAGTAACCTCGATCGCGGATCGAAAACGCGAACCACTGAGAAGATCTGACGTGAAACTCAGTCGGCTGTGTCTATGGGTTAATTTACTCGCCGAGCCCGTGCAAGCGACGGGTCGACGAGAACGATTACCGGGCGATTTGCTCACAATATCATTTCCCATAAACATGTTCGGGTATCACACATCGATAGCGCAATTTAATTTTACGACTAACGCCATCTATTGGCGACGTTCAAATAAATTCACACCATATTACTTTACAAGAGGCGCGCCCGCGACGCACCACTGCCAGGGTCGCCATGTGATGTGTGGGCTATCTAAATGAAACGAGTGCTTTGGTCGACGATCGTTTATTGAATGCCTTACTAATTACCTAATACAAAATTATAAGGTGATTTAGCCCGATAAGTAGTATAGTTGATGTATAAAATAATATGTGCGTATTGTGTTGCTTTTGTTTTTTTGTAATTTAAATTTCTTAATTTCTCTTCTTGTTCACTGTCTACTTATATGTGATTTTGATTGTGGAAACATATTTGGTTATTGTTTTAGCTATATTTTTTTTAAATTTTATATGTTTGTATTGTACTGTTTGTTTCCCAAATAAATAAATAAAAATAAAATAAATAAAATGCAATGGTTATACCTATATTACAACTAAAGTAACGTGTTGTTGCACACTACAATATAATAGATGTTTATCCATAAGAGATAATATAGATGTAGAAACAAGTCCGTCCATTGTAGACATGACTGTGTTATGATTGATTCGTACTTTATTTAATGTTTTCATATGCGCGGAAGTTTGTGAGATTTGAACCTTCCCGACTTCGAATCGGTCATCTATATATTAATTAACTTTGCATCCCTTTTTACGAAAATTGCGCGAACGGAGGAGTATGAAATTACCCACACTTACAGAGAATATAGAGTAGGAGTGCAGAATGCAAATTTTTTTTAAATTATACTTTGAAAGTACATTAAATCGATAAAAAAAACATTACACACACTACCATGTATTTGATTCACACACATATTATGTATATAGGTATATATCCTTTGGTTTATTGTCAAACTTTTGATATTGCTTATAGTCTGTGGTCAAATTGAGAATAGATTAAATATTGTTTATCTTAAATATTATTTGTCTAAAGTGTATGTAGTCTTGACGAAATCTGTGATTATAGTAGTATAAATAGTTATTGACAATAGAACCATAATAATGTTCAAACTTATAATTTCTAGTCTACTAGTCTGCTAGTCTGCTAGTCTGCTAGTCTGCTAGTCTGCTAGTCTGCTAGTCTGCTAGTCTGCTAGTCTACTAGTCTACTAGTCTACTAGTCTACTAGTCTACTAGTCTACTTGTCTACTAGTCTACTAGTCTACTAGTCTACTAGTCTACTTGTCTACTAGTCTACTAGTCTACTAGTCTACTAGTTTATTTTAAGGCATTCACCAACTCGATACAGAGGCAGGCGACGGGCGAATGGTTTTATAATAACAAAAGAGTTTTCTGATAAATAATGAATACAGGTAGGGGTACACCATGAGGGGAACTGCAGTGATGTGGCCCTTGAGGACAGTGAAGAGGAGCATCTGCACCACGGCCAGCCGCCAGCAGGTATCGGAAGGCAGCAAGGAAATGGGTATACCTTCTTTCTTTCTCTTTTTTTAAGCATGAAAATTGGCTTCTTTCGACTTAATTTAATCTACAGTTTAATCTACAATCTTTAATCTACAATCACAGAATCTAATTAAAACTGCTTTTTTTCCTGTTTAGTTTTGAGTTTTTTTTTCATATCGTTTTATGATACCCGACGTTTCGAATACTTTAAAGTTTCCGCGGTCACGGAGGACAGTCGTAAAAGTTGTTTTAATTATGTCTATGACTCGTGAAAATCGAAGAAAGAACTTATCGATTTTTCTTTAATAAATTGTAGACAAAAATTTATATTTATATATTTAAACTAGCTGTACCCACCCGTCCGCTTCGCTGGGCATTTAAAACTAACATTATTATTTCTCACACCCCCACAAACATTCTCATCATTAACGCAACGTGTGTAGGGAGTCCAACACTGATATAAATATTAGCCTATCCATTAAGTACATGTATTTTCTACATCGATACCAAGTTTCAAGTCAATCGGAGGCATGGTTCAGTAGTTATAAAGGAACATCCGTAAAAACCACTGTAGATTTATATTTATGTATAAGTATATATATAACATTATATATTTTATAGGTGCAAAAAATTCGATGCTTTCCACGTGTCCCGTCCACATCCAGCGAGCCAGGTCCACTCACGTCGTGGACGCTACAGCCTTCGAAGTATCGTCTCCTGTCAAACCCTGGGAAGATGTACCAGGTCCAAAGCCACTGCCCTTACTTGGAAACACTTGGAGGTTCACTCCTTATATCGGTAAGTTAACAATGAAGATAATCTCTTGGAATTTTAAATCGGTTTAGGAACTTATAGACATCTATACCTACAAATAATAATTTGAGTGTCTGTTTGTAATAATAAAATAACCACTTTTTACTAAATGCGTAAGTATGTATGCACAGTACGTATACCAAAAAACATTTTTTTTAAACTTTGTCTGTCTGTCTGTTTGTTCCGGCTAATCTCTGGAACGGCTGGACCGATTTTGACGGGACTTTCACTGATAGGTAGCTGATGGTATAAGGAGTAGCTTAGGCTACTTTTTTTTTAGACTAGCTTCGCCCCGTGGCGTCACCCGCGGTACGACAATAACGCGAGTAGCATCGCGGGACTCAGCTAGTTCTACATAAATGTATCCTGTTATCTTTATACAATTATGGTTCTTATACTACTGCACTTAAGTAATAAGTTAAGAGTATTGTTATATAATAGTATTTTAGACAATTAAAATTGTTAGCGTATTTGCTGCTTCTTTATTTTCTGTTAGTCGGTTTGCCAGTTGGCAAAGGCCTTTTTTTATTGCTTAGATGGGTGGACGAGCTCACAGCCCACCTGGTGTTCAGCGGTTACTGGAGCCCATAGACATGTACAACGTAAATACCGCCACCCACCTTGAGATATAAGTTCTAAGGTCTCAGTATAGTTACAACGGCTGCCCCACCCTTCAAACCGAAACGCATTACTGCTTCACGGCAGAAATAGGCAGGGCGGTGATACCTACCCGTGCGGACTCACAAGAGGTCCTGCCATCAGGCCTCCTGCAGCCTACGCCATTCTGGTCTCTCTCTGGCTATTCCACTCCATGTTTTTCCTGCAACCTGCCTGATATCATCGTCTAGCTTTTAAATAACAAAAGTAACTTTTCTACCGTCTACTTTATACCAAGGAAAATTGTAAAGTACTCAAAGCGTCAGTAACAATTTATTGACAGTTAAACAATGATATTTTATATGTAAAAAGAAGCAGATATGTTTCAAGCGCACGTCAAGTGAAGACTCGAAAACCGGCCAATTGGGACGTTTCGTCTTTAGTCGCATCTAAACAAATGCAATAATAATATAACAAGTGCAATCGTTCCAAATATAGCTATCTTTTTTACTCACGCGCTTATCCCGTCTTTTGTACTTTTCATTAATGCTACTTGTCAACATGTGTGTGCACTATATCGGTAGGTATGTAGATATATAGGGCGCGATCAGATTTGAAGAGTCAGTTACCATGAAGATAACATATCTGTTGTATAAAAAATCGTTGTAGTTAAAAATGCGAAAAAAAGCCTTCAAAGTACCTACTATCAATGAAGAAAACTTCTTGAATAAAAATAATCACTCGAACCGCCATTGTATTTATAGACACCATCAAAATGTTCTTAACATTCAAATGTAATTTTTACTTTCGACATCAATCAAAGATTTCCTTGCGCAACCAACAGCGCCACGACAATATATTGTATTAGCGACCCGGCTTCGGAAACATCAAATTTTATTATTAATAGCAGAGTCCCGCGACGTTACCCGCGGTTATTTTCGTACCGTGGGTGACGCCGCGGGGCGAAGCTAGTCTAAAAAAAGTTGCCTAAGTTACTCCTTACATTATCAGCTACCTATCAGTGAAAGTCGCGTCAAAATCGGTCCAGCCGTTCCAGAGATTAGCCGGAACAAACAGACAGACAGACAGACAAACAAAAATTTAAAAAAATGTTATTATGTACTATGTACCGTATATATATTCATATGCACGTAGTAAAAAGCGGTTATTCCAATATTAAAAAAATACACTCCAATTTTATTTATATGTATAGATAATGCAAATAAAAACTATTCTTAACATTTTCCCGCAATCTTTTTAATACATAGAGAAACTTGAGAAATCGTAGACGGTGTAATTATTGTTAGAATTGCATGGCGAATGTTGCAAGGTTTAAAAATAACGAGCTAAATATTATGTTTATGTCACTGAAGTAGGAAACCTATGGAAATGAAACGTCAACAAAAAATTCGTGCCACTGTGACGTCATCTGGCCACAAAACATGGCGGTTTTAGTGCTGCCCAGAAGATTTTAATGTTAGTAGGTTTTATCGATAAACGTTCTTGGCTCATTTTATTTTAAATATTGTTGAGTGAATGTATTTGTAGAATTTATACTTTAATAGGAAGTAAGTATATTGTTATGTGCAAAGATGATGTGATTTAGATATTATGTGAAATCTAAGACGAGTTCGTGCTTCAAATTTGCCAAGTAAACGATATGACGATTTTTAAAATTTGCTACACTGATTTTATAAAGTTGTCGTTTGCCGCAAAACATAAAGATATGGCGTAGTACAGTGCCATCTGCCCATTTCTAGCATGCTGAATGTTATCGTATTTTGAGTACGTTTTTTTCTTAGACTATTACAATCTATTTTAATTGTTTTGCTGACTCTAAAGTCCGTAACACACTACCGCAGCGCACCTCGAGGAAGGTACGCCGCACCATTTGAATTACTCTCACTTGAGAGTGATTCAAATTTTAAACTTATCAAGGGACCGCCTGATAAAAAAAAACACCTACAGAACATTTATTCGTTAATAAAATTACAAACGTCATTCCTTGTGACTTCCTCTCTAAAATCACTTAATTATTAAATATTTAACGAATTTACAATAGTGTACTCACTGTGGAATAAAACTATTTTATTTAAATAGTTTTCCCGAAGTCTTTTTCCCGAAATATCTAAACAGAATGTCTAAATATGTTTTGATGACATATTTTAAAGAGGTATTTATGATTAGTGTCATGATCAATAGATTCCGACCGAAAAATGGTGCCCGATTTTTCGGATGAGGGCTCCATAATGAATTTAAATATATATAGATAATAATTTTGGGGCATCGACTTTCTTGAAATCCTATAAAATACGTTTTAATTATTATTTTTGTATGTTTTAAGCATGATAAAATATGAAATTTTATATAAGCAATCATATTAAATCGATATCAAAGTCAATAAATAATGTACAACCCAAAACAGACGGCCGAACTGACATGACAATGACATTTGGCGCGCTAAACATGGCGGATTTTCGGCCTCATTAAACGGAGACGGAGACATTTACGTATATTCATGTTTCATTTTATGTACGCACTGAAATACTGTTATATTGTTTTCCTGTGACTTAAAGTGCTGAGTAAGAACGAGATAGATATATGTTTATGTATGTGCCTTCAAAATGGGTGCTATTTATATAAGCAATTGTACGTATAGAACAATATGTCGTGTCCCTACTATATAGGTCTATGGTTTATGTTGTTACGAGATGCTTAATGCCATAGATTACAATTTTAGATTAACTTTGGCCTTGGTTGTATCAAAATTCGGTGTTCTGAATTGGAAATAAGATATACGTTACTTTGAATTTTATGAAAATTCATGGAATACACTATTAATTGCATTTTCGTTTTAGACTAGTAATTAGATTAATTATTAGAATTCAACTATAAACACTCAACACCTCAAGATGTTGAATCATTTGATGCATGTTTTAATTACATTATCTTTGATTTTTTCATCGCTACTACCATAGATAAAATATGATGAGAAGGAAAGTAATTATATGGCAGAAAAATGTTGAGTAGGTAACCAAAAATTTTAATTTTTAACCGACTTCAATAAAAATAGGAAACACTGTATTCGATTGTATTTTTATTAGTAGTATTTTATTAGTAACATACGTATTTTTTACGGATGTTAATCCGTATTGGACAATGGATGAATCACTGAAGTATGAAACCTTTCTATGGGATGAATTGATTTTTCTTTTGAAAGCTAGATCTTGTGACAGATAGTCCCTTTTAAATTTTATCAAGATCTGACGAATAGTTTTTGAGTGACTTCGTTGCAGATATTTTTATTTAATTTAGTTAAGTCGGTGTTCTTTTTTAATAAAATTTTGTATTAATTATGTGTTTATAAAGGCTTAGTTTTTTTCGGCCATTCAAAAATAGCAAGCTTATTAAATATTTGAAAGACCGGTTTTATTTCGGAAATAATGCAGATTTTTAACCCGAATACCGAAATAAAACTTTCACAACCTACGATGTTCAAGAATATTTTGCTTTTAGAAATTTAAGAACAGGTTTGATTAACAGATCCCGTTGCTTTATTGCTTTTTTTTTGTAGCGCTTATCCACTTAAAATGGATGTAGGTTATAAATTTCTAGTTTGCAAAGATTCGCAGTATATGATTAAAATTATAAATGACGATATTATAACGGTTTTTTAAATATCTACATACATACAATAAATTTGTCTCATAACAATTCTCTGAATTTAAGCTCTGATGTTTACAGATGAACAAGTTAATAAATATTATATAAAATACTAGCTGACCCGGCAGACTTCGTTGTGCCTCAATCGATAAATAAAAGACACATCAAAGGAAAAACAAAATTCCGAGCTTGTTTATATTTTCTCACCTTTTAAATCTTCCCTGGACTTCCACGAATAATTCAAGACCAAAATTAGCCAAATCGGTGCAGCCGTTCTCGAGTTTTAGCGAGACTAACGAACAGCAATTCATTTTTATATATAGAGAAGATTATACAAAATAAAAAAAACATACCCTTCTTCTGGTCCTTGTTCATTTAGCGTATTTAGTTCATAAATTTGCCTATTTGGTTGAAATGAATTAAACGTGTTTATTTAATATAAGTAGCGCTAATATTTTTTGTATAAAATTTTTTGAAGTGAAACTATACTGAGACTTTTTGTAACTATACTGAGACCTTTGAACTCATGTCTCAGGGTAGGTGGCGCATTTACGTTATAGATGTCTATGGGCTCCAGTAACCACTTAACACCAGGTGGGCTGTGAGCTCGTCCACCCATCTAAGCAATAAAAAAAAAATTAGTAAAAGGTTTTTGTTTTTTTTCCGGTAAATTATAAAAGTCAATAATTTGATATGGTTTTTATTATTATTAAAAATTATATATTTAGTTTACTAGTATCAGTACAAAAGTAGTAAATTAAATTAAAAACGCTAACTCATTACATATTCGTCTAATAGCTACGTATAACTGTTATTTCTCGAAAAAAAAAAAAACTCAAATAGTATGATGTTATTTCCACAGTTATAAAACACACGGATTTCCCACATTACATACGCGGTAGTGTTTTTAATTATTGCGCATGATTACAAAGTAAATTCTAATTTAAATGTTTATGTACGCCCTGCGTTGCGTCCGTCGCTGTGTTGTGAAAATGATGTAGGACAAGGTCGCCATTTTTATTCCCCACGCGTCATTTAGAGTTAATAACCTCACTTATTTTGGCGCGTAAAATTGCGCTGCGCGGAATAAATTTTCACGCACCTTTTTTTTGGTTTTAATTTCTTACTCAAATGTTCAAATATTCTATAACTTTTAGTATATGATTTATTCTTGTGAAATAGACATCCATAATTGAGGCCTATAAAATCAAAGGCAGCTAAACGCCATAATGTCGTGAAATGGATTAACAATGGCCCTATTTTTTTTAGTTAATTGGACACGCTTTAGTGTTTTCATGTTATAACAAATGCAGCTAAATCTCTAACAAATTCAGTTCAAAAAATTTATTTTTACTCAGTACTAAGTACTAATAAACGAAGTTTTATCATTTAAAATTTAGATTATTAGTAATATTCTCATTCTTTATAAATATGTTTTAAAATAAAGAATATCGTAGCTATCCGAACAAAGTTATTTCAGCGTGTTGCTATCACTGGCCCTTCGGGAGGATCCGTAATGACGTGTTTAGGGACGATTTTTGTAGTTTACCTGAATATTTGACAGACTTGGATTTTATAGGCCTCAATTATACTATTACGAAGTTTTATACTGAACTTGAGATTGCTTTGAGGCTTCGACTTAGGGAGGTATAATAGTGCTGTTATAGTAAATAGTGTTTTATTACAGGTGGTAGGGCGTCTTGTGGGCCTTGTCGGCCCAGTATGGGCATATTTGTTTTGTTTGCATTTTGTTTTTACCAGCGCACCGCCCCCCACCACAGTAGAGTTCATCCATACTACCTGGAGCCACTGCGTTCATCCACATTGCGCTTCCAGAGATCTTTTTTGCCACGTACCATCCGGGTTTGGAATGAGCTCCCGTCCATAGTTTTTCCCGAGCGCTATGACATATCCTTCTTCAAACGAGGCTAGGCTAGGCTAACGGTAGGCAGCGGCTTGGCTCTGCCCCTAGCATTTCTGAAGTTTATGGGCGACGGTAACCACTCAGCATCAGGTGGGCCGTATGCTTGTTTGCCTAGACGGGCAATAAAAAAATTTACCACCATCCTGACTATTTGTGCCGTGAAGCAGTAATCCGTTTCGGGTTGAAGAGTTGAATGGGCCAGCCGTTGTACTGTAAAAATGGAAACTTAGAACTCATGTCTCAAGTTGGGTGCCGGTATTTACTTTTTTGATATCTATGAAATCTATCTTGTTTTTGATGTCGGCCTTAGCTATAAAAAATAAAAATTAACATCGCCATCAGTTTGTGTATCTAGAAAGAATAAAAAAAAAAAAAAAACCGGTCGATACAACATTACGAAAACGATACTATTGTGTATGTACAGAGAAACGCCACTTGTGTGTATGCAGTGTAACGATGCATGCGGCATATTTCCTTCCTTATGCAACATGTTAAATTAACCGTAAATAGATTTATTACTATGATTTATGAACGACGAAAAGAGGACGAAATCAAAAACGTGTTTAGTATTTTCTTTTTAGGACGGTACAACAAATTAGTTTGCATTTTTTTTTATTGCTTAGATGGGTGGACGAGCTCACAGCACACCTGCTGTTAAGTGGTTAATGGAGCCCATAGACATCTAGGTATATCGTAAATGCGCCACCCACCTTGAGATATAAGTTCCAAGTTCTCAAGTATAGTTAAAACGGCTGCCCCACCCTTCAAACTGAAACGCGGATTCGGACCCCGCAGGCGGGTACCAATTTTTCTAATGAAATACGTACTTAACAAATGTTCACGATTGACTTCCACGGGTATCGTGTAATAAAAATCAAACCCGCAAAATTATAATTTGCGTAATAACTGGTGGTAGGACCTCTTGTGAGTCCGCACAGGTAGGTTACCTCGCTTATTTCTGCCGTGAAGCAATAATGCGTTTCGGTTTGATGATTAATTAAGATTCTAGAAGAATCTAGAATCTCGATTCTAGATGATTAAGCCATAAGTATAAATAATACCAACAAATATTTTTCGTATAAGGAAATTTGTCACAAGTATTACTTTAACTCGTGTGGGCTACACACTTCGCTCTATCTACCGATTCTTACGCCCAAGACTCACAGTAAACGCAGCGACTTCAATTGAAAGTAATTTGATTCGTAACAAAATTATAACACACTTTCTTTTAAAAGCACGTTATGTTAACGCAGTGATTCTCAACCTTTTTATCACGGCCCAGAGACTTCAAAATTTGATGGCACACAAAGATAAAGATTTTGGAAGTTGATGATTACAAAACTATAAAAATTGAAAAGTATATAAGAAAAAAAAAAAAGTATATAAGAATATAAGTGGTAACGCCTCTTGTGAGTCCGCGCGGGTAGGTACAACTACCCTGCCTATTTCTGCCATGAAGCAGTAATGCGTTTCGGTTTGAAGGGTGGGATAGCCGTAGTAACTATACTGAGGCCTCAGAACTCATATCTCAAGGTGGGTGACGGCAATTACGTTGTAGATGTCTATGGGCTCCGGTAACCACTTAACACCAGGTGGGCTGTGTGCTCGTCTACCCATCTAAGCAATAAAAAAAAAGTAGAATATGCAATATATTTTATGATTTGATTTATGTTTTAAATTGTACGTTTGTTAGGAGAATAATTACAAGTTAGTAATAAGAAAACTTTTATCTTAGAAATCTTTTAGAATATCTTTCTAGAATCTTTTAGAAATATCTACATAATATAATTAACCAAACATCTAGAATCTTTTTGAATATTTTAGAAATATCTACATAATATAATTAACCAAACATTTCTAAAATTGAATAGCACACTAAGAATTTAGTGATGTACAAAAATTCCGCGGCACAGTGCTAGAGGTTGAGAATCGCTGTGTTAAAGCCTACTTCTAATCTTGATTGTGAAAGGTTCTTTCTCTATTTGGAAAGGAAATTATTAGAGTGTTAATGACTAAGCAACATTTACTTGATACTTTTAGATTATACGAGATTTCTTTTTGTTTTCTTTATTGCTTCTATGATTGGACGAACTCACAGTCCACCTGGTGTTAAGTGATTACTGGAGCCCATAGACATTTACCACGCAAATTCGCCACCCACCTTGAGATATCAGTTCTAAGGTCTCAGTATAGTTACAACGGCTATCCCACCCTTCAAACCGAAACGCACTACTGCTTCAGGGCAGAAATAGGCGGGGTGGTGGTACCTACCCGTG